TATGAATTATAATTATTTTATTATTAACGTAATTTTAATTAAAAATTTGATCTACATACTATATTCTATTCAATTTTTTTATTGATATATATTTTCTTAAACATTATTAAATGCGTGTCATTTTTTATATCTTTGTTTTTTTATTTATTAATTTTTCTTAGATGGGTGAACATCACACTATTTTATTAAACTGTATTATCCTCATTAATTAATAAGTCATAATAAATTTATATATAGTAAAATGTGGAAAAGGAAAGAGATAGAAAATTATCTTGATTTTGTAATTGTTTTGCAACCAACGGGCAAAGATCAACGAATCCGCTAATGGTAGAAGGCGCAGGCCTCGGAGATCCTGAGACTAATCAGACTAAGCATTAATCTTTCGAGTGGATCCTCGACCCAATTCTCGTAAGGTCAAGTCGCAATGGAGACGTTGATTGGATTCCACGTCAAACCAGAAGTAAACACCTTTTCTATCATTACGCTCGTCTTTTATCTCTCTTTTCTTTTTTTTATCTCGCGGCGTATATATTGCGAAATTAAATTTTATTTAATTATCTCACATTTATCGATCAAGCTAATGATCATGATGCGATGTGACAGCCTGACAGAAATCACTATTTATATTTGCTTATTAATTATTCATAGAAACGTCGTCGATATGTTCTAATAACTCATTCGTTTAACCCCTCTTTTAACACCTGACAATACTTGCACGAAAAGTGTTTCGCAGAGAAGATCCAAAAGATCTCGAACGACCTTGCTGTTGATTAAAAATTAACGGATTCCTGATTCATCTTCTCTCCTCGTGCGCGCGCGGTTTTAGAAGCGAGAAGATATTACTAGGTAATTGTAAACCGCACAGCTTCCAGAGCTACTATGGACCGTTTATCATCGTCTCTATAGCTACCGGGGTCGTTGAGTGAGGAGATTTGGGGGTTCACCGTGCTAAGAGTTGAAACCTCAGCATGACTGGTGGCCTCGGTAGCCGATAGACGTGTCATTTATGCGTCTACGAATCAATAGCCGCTTCACTTTACACCCACCTTACATCATTAGTCATTTTATAGGGCCGTTCTGCTCCGTTACACGCGTACGCAGCATTTGCTCCCGCGACTGATTTGTCGTCTCATCCCGACACAAGTCTATATCGGTCGAAAAAGGACTAGCAGGCTCGCCGATTATGATTAATCTAATCATTAAAATTGTATAGCCTTGTTCGAGATATATGTATTGCTTTACTGATCGATCGAGACTCGTTATTATAAAATTCAGGCATCGCGTTAGTATTATACCAGATGTAATTAATTAATTGGAGTGTGTCGTATTTAGGTGTGTATATAATGTGACTATTATAATAATTCGAATATTGTGTGTAGCGTGACGGAAGTCAACTTATCATCCCGATAATAACATATGTTCATAGTGCTTTTTTCAAAACGTTCTAGATATCGATTGTTTTGTGCAGTTTTCTAGAATTCGATAAACTCTTCTCAAAATAAATTTAAATAAAATATTATACGTAATTTTAATCTCAGGCTATTAAAGGAATAAACATTGTAATGTTATTTATTAATTCTATGCTAAATAATTATTTTGAAATATCGAAATGGTTAGTAAGAAATTTCCTTATATTATAAATTATTTCATTAAGAAGATATTTCTCTTCTGCCTTATGTTCCGCTAAATGTAGAATTATAGTTACACAGTGGTGTAATAACGGAAAATACTGGGAACTACAGTTATAAGGTCGCGCTAATGTACAAGAAGTTTTACATGTGACTTATTCAGCAACTTTTACTAACGTTTACTACTTACGTTTATTAATTTCCTTTGCTGTAGGCCTCATTACTCTTCAAGATACGACGCATACACCTACCTACAATTGTAATGTGGTAAAAGACCTTCGCATATTCCCAGTCGTATCGCAAACCTTATATTGCCAACAAATGAATAATGTTTCAAAGACGTGACGACTCTCCTCAACAATTCTCTCTGCGAGAATTTCCATTCTCATCTCTCCAATGATGGACCAAGCGCACTCTCTGATTTCCAGTCTCGAAGCTCAAATTGAAAGGCGATCAACTCTTCGACGCATTCGCGCGAAAGAGGTCTTCAGAGGCGGAAGAATCGGTCGGAAGTGAGTTTCGCGGTTTTGTTATTTCGCCGGCAACGGGAGCATGGGACATGTAAAGGTGCCTTTTCATACGTAGCATGCAGCAAATCAATCACGTGATCAAAATTTATTAAAGCATATTTTTTTGTTCTCTTATTACTTCAAGGTTAAAATTACGATTTTTGCTTTTATATTCTTATAATAATCTATTTAATTCTTAAAATTCATTATTTAATATAATAATAATAATAATTATTATTAATCAACTAGTTGCGTGTTCTGCTTTGCTGTCTTTGCTGTTCGTCCAATTGAACTTTATCAATAGCAACAAACTGCTGCGGCAGCGTGTTGCACATGAAATGGTACCTTAAGGATTCTATTTGCAGTAGGCGAACGCGAGTTAACCGGACGAGATGATCGTGTCCTTCTCTCTCTATCTCTATCTATCTATCTTTCTCTCTCTCTTTCTTCGCGTGGTTAAAACTCAACGCCATATATACAGTGAAGAACCGAAGCTCCCGCTTCCTTCATCTATCATGCGAACCATGACAAACCGAGTCTCAAAAGCAGCCGCCAGCGTAGCAGCACTTTCTTACCTTCTTCACTTAGTCACCGGGCGCTCAGGTGAGTCTCTACCTGCCTGATATACAGACAGACTTCCCTCCTCTTCCTCCCCCTTCTCATTCTCTATCTACATTTATTAACATTTAAGCGTTAACGACATTTCTCTCTCGCGCGCGCGAGTCCCAGAAGAAAAAGAAACAAGAACCGTAGTCGGCTACTCGTATCTTGCTTGCCTTCTACCTCCTTTCGATTCGGACTTGGTATTCTTTGTTTCAAAAAATACCAGCCGCGAAATCGATTAAATGAAACAATCACGGTAATTCCAGAAATCTTGCTGCGCGTGTACGACGCGTTAATTAATCTTCTCTCGTGGCGGCCGCGGAATATCCTCACTCTCTCTCTCTCTCTTCCTTTCCATCTCTGTCTGCGACGTGGAGTATCCTGGTGAGGCACAATGTTATGAAAATTAACGATTCTAAACGAATTAAACGGAATGAAGGATGCGAGTTACGACTGTATTGTACGGCGACGCGTGTTGCGGATCACGATGAAAATCGTAGTAGAGATTCATGCATTTTCTACCCCTGCAGCAGATATCGAATAGAAGGCAAAGTGGCGTGAATGAGTTGTCCCTTGACGATCGCAAGATTTATGGTCGCGACGGTTGGGCGGAAAAGGGCAAGCGTTTCGGTACGACTCCGGGAACTGGTAACCCTTGACCCAGACTCCGGAGTCCACCCTCTTCTGGTATGTCCACGATAGTGCCGCATGATTGACGATAAGGATATACACGTTGTAAAACGTTCGTTTACTTCATTGAAACCTTATTCGTTCGGCGGTTTGATCAGATCGGGTGATTATCGGTATCTCGTCACGTGTGTTCCTGAAAAGAAAAATAAAAAAAAAGAAAGAAAGCACTATATATATATATATCTATATATATAAGAGGGATTGCGCTACATAAGAGGGCAGGTTAAAGCGCAATTTTCTAGTCCTTCGACGTTTTTCTGTTCTTTTTCTCCTTTTCTCTCTCGTCCGCCCGTAAGGCCTTCGTTCGGTCTTTGTCGGAGAAAAAGTTAATAGCTTGGAGAAATTAGCCGATGTGGGGAGGATCGTTGATCGGGGATCGTGTTTCGGGAGGGTGTTCTGCACAGATGCAACGATAGCAACAGTTCGGCCGGCTCGAACCGGAGGTCACATATGAGCTCGGAGCTCATGGCGTCGTATGGGCTTGACTCACACGCATCACGCGTAGTCATCCATCATTGTCAGTCTCTTCACTGACACACAGCCGTCCGTCCTACCGACGCACTCCGTGGCTCTCTCGATTTGAGTTTCTTTCGTCAAAGTTGTGATTTTCTACAAAATGTCCAAATGTTCGCCAATCTACGATATATCTATCATAATTATTACGATATACTTATTTATAATAATTTTTACTTAACTTTTTCATTCACCTTGGAATTCAATAATTAATTATATCAATTTTGTTATTAAATATTGCATCTTGCTGATATATATATATATATATATATATATATATATATATATAAACAAGTTACATACAGAAAAAAGACCTTTACTCTGAGATCTCCCTCTCCTTTCTCTCTTTCTAATTTTATACGACTGTGATAAATCAATCTCTACGTATGCATGGATTTCTCTGACATAACAAATGGCGCGTAATCTCTGAATAGAATATAAAGTTGACACGGTGTAAGGATACACTGCTAAGAATAATATTTCAGTTCGATTGCTCCGATATTTCAGGTCATCCATCATCGTCACTTTCATCGCCGACACGACGAACCGCGCCATCTACGATCAAAATTTACGCGTTCCGCTTCCGCTCATGGTCACTCCTTCGTTAAAGTTGCGATTTTCCATATCACTCGTTGACTTACGTGGGATGTTTACCGATTTCACATGGTCCTCGCTTCAGCGCACTTAACCGCTGAAACATTGAAAAGCAAACGAGAGATATTGCAACTCAGTAAGAAGATGACTGCTAAGAAAAAGAAGAAAAAAAAAAGAAAAAAAGAAAGAAAATAAAGACACACTCGTTATTTTTTGCTATGACCTGTATTTTGTCAAATGTATCCGTGAGTGAATGTACACGTGTGTGATGATAACTTTGTTTATACCGTGTCGAGGGCTCACTTGCAACACAATTATATATAGTCAGAATGAATAAACAATATACGGTTATCGTATCGCGCATATATTATGTACATGAGAATCTTTATATGAACAACGACGGCGCCTATATAATGTTTTTATACAAAAGAGATTTGCGTATATTAAATATGTTACCGCGAGGTGTAAATTAAAATTATGCGTCTCTATCTACGCTTTTTTTTACTTTTACAATTACCTACCGTGAGAAGAGACAATAATTTATTTGGTTCGCTTAAAGTAGCACGCTAGAGTATAGACATTACAAAAGAAACGCGGTTTGTGAAAAAATGAGATAATGCAACCGATATATTTATATGTATTTAATAGATATTAGATATTACGATACATTTCCCCTTTCATGGTAGGAAGATGTAGATTATCTTTCGATATATTGCTCAACGTCATGTGCTCGAATGTCATTGTAAGTGACATTACACTCCACGTGGAATGACATATCGATTCGAATTAATTTTCACAGATTCGTTTCATTTTTTCACAAAGCGAACGGCGCAGGTAAATTCTTTTTACAAGTGCATTCGTCTTTTCTCGCAACAGTAACCGATTTCAACTATTCTTCGTATTCGGTAAAGGACAATTTTTATAAGAGGGAGAGAGAAAAGAGAGACATCTATTTCCTGTGTTTAATTAAAACTAACGAATTGTAGCTATTTCACTTTTTCAGAAGTTGTATACTCGGTATAGTAATCGTGTGATTGTGTGTATAAATGCGATTTTCTTATTCGTTTGTGTGTCCATTAATCTATCCTTCATATAATATATATAAATATGTACACGGTGTGTCATTGTTAATTATTGCTCATGCACCTACTCGTCTCGTTTCGTGATGGTTTGAAATCAGGTATAATCTTTTGTTTATCGCGTTATTGATTGATTATCACATGGGAATTAAATATGATATTTACGGAGATACGTGATTTACAGAAACTTTCTCAGAATTTGTTCTTCTATGATTTCAAACACGGTTAAACTGCTTCGATCGAGCATGCCAATGAAGTTATATCTCAAAAACGAAAGAAAACATTGTTTCGGTAATTTGCATGTTCTAGTTTTCAAACACCCTAACGAGATACGCTAATGTAGAGACCGCCACAAGAAGAGATTGCACTTACACCTCGTGTTTTCGTTCACGAGAATCGCGGGATCGCGTTAGAAGTCGAAATAGCATCCATATTTCACGATATAGCGAACTTTTCTGACATATTTACAACATGCCACACATTTTTGTTAAACCACAGCTCGTATATATCAGTCTAGTATCACTTACAGATCACACTTTTCGTCTCTTGCGATTATGAATGTTTCACGTCGAAACAGTGGCGATGAAATTATTCACTCTGAATAATTCACAGTTTAAAAAATTCTAGGATAAGAGGGAGAAAACTCGCTCCAATTTAAAATTAATAACACAACCATTGCACTCGTTGTCACTGTTTTACATCTGCCGAAACATACTTCAACGTTTGGAATGTAAATTGATAGATTGACATTCTGCTTGATGGTGAGAAATATTAAAATCGATATTTTACTTGGATGCAACATATAATTATGGATCAAATTTATATAATCCAGGCTATTCGTTGCAACCAAGAACAATCGACAATTTTTCTGGTAATCTGGATTACTTGAGATATGCTTGCAGTTGTCGAACTTCAGTTTAAATCCCGCACACATTTTCAGATTTAATTATATTTACAATTATTCTAGATCAGTCCTTGCACCTTAAATTAGCGCGACTAGTCGTGAAGATAATTCCTAACGCGAATCGCGAAAGGAGAGTAACTTCAAACTAGACAATTATTTGACAATCAAGATGAAAAATCGCGATTAACGTATAGACGCACACGATGTTGACGGTATCTCTAATTTCTGTGCGAGAGCCCGTTGTATTTTTACACACAATATTCCTTTACACGTAGCTCTAATAAATCACGAGTACTAACGTATGTACAAATCACGTGGACTCTTACACGCGGCTCTTCATCACGCCGATTAAGGTGGGTTCAGTACAAAGCGTTGAGCAGGCATTGCTCGTCGCCCCAGTCCAACTGGCAAGAGCTCTCGGTCTCGTGGACTCAGCTGAGCTGATAGTACTCGGGCGCGAAGTCGTTCGCCAGATTGCTGAGGAAGTTGAAGTCGGACGAGCTGTTGCTGTTGTCGGCGGATGGCGGCGGCGGCGCTGCCGTCGCCGCCGAGTGCACCGGATCACCATAAAAATTGCCGTAAGTGCCGTAAGATTCGTTGTTACTCTCAGTCTGGCCGGTACTTCCGGGTGGCGTGATGACCGCCGCGGTGGCAGCCGCGATTGCTGTCGCGGTTGTCGTCATTCCGGGTGCCGGGAAGGGATCGGGGGATGAAACGTAGCTGTTGGGGATGCTGGACGCTTCCCCACCCTGATGAACGTGCAGCTGACTCGTCTGCTCGTAATACGCGCCCGGATGACACTTGCTGCCGCTCGGCCGATAATCACTGGAACTGGGATGCATCGGCGGCTGATGGGTGACGTAGCCCTCGGCCGTGTGTTGCTGCGGGTGTTGCTGCTGTTGCTGGATGTCGTTGAAGTAGCCGTGCTGTCCGGGCACGACGGCGTGGCCGTGCGTCGCCAGGTTTTCGCCGGCGCTGCCATGATAATTGCCGCCGGTTGAGTAACCCGAGTAATTTCCAGGGGTCATATAACCTTCGTTCGTGCCCTGATCATTCGGCGTCGTGGAATATCCCTGACTGGTGCCGTAGGCGTTGGCGGTGCTCTGCATACTCCGGTGATAAGCGTGATAAGGTGGTCCGGCCTGGGGATATCCATTGTATTCTCCTGTGCTGCCATACTGCAGCTGCTGCTGATGGAATTGCTGCATATTAGCGGCCCCGTACATTGACCTCGAGGTCGCGCCCGTCGTCGTTCGGGAGTGATGCGCCATCCTCGAGCCCACCGACTGATTCTGTCTATACAGAGAGTTCACCTCGCTAGGATAAGAGATTCTCGGTTGCTGATACGCGTCTCGGGAGCAGTAACTATTCTGCGACTGGGTCTGTTGCGTCGCCGGAGGTATGTTCTGCCTATTAGCGGGCACGCCGTTTCGGTAATCGACAGCCGGCGAGGACTGATACACACCCTGCTGCTGGAAATGAGCCTGCTGATTGCTCGAGATGCCTCGACCGCCATGAGGCGACATCGTGCCCGGATTCGAGGTGGCGTGTAATATCGATGCCGGTAACGCGGTCGTGGAAGACGGCGAGCTACGTGGTCGCTGCATGTAGGCCGCGTGAGTCGTCTGCTGGATACCCAGAGGACTGCCCTGCTGAAGCTGGACGGAGACGGGGGTGCCGGGTGTCGAGGAGGGTGTGAGACTTCTCGTGGAATTTTGACCAGGCAGAACAGGCGTGCTGACCGTCGAGTCCGGCATCGCCAATAATACACCGTTGCTGTTGACCGAGCACATGTCCTTCCCGCTAGCCGATGGCGATTTCTTGCTCACCGAGATCTGCTGTTGTTGTTGCTGCTGCTGCTGCTGCTGCTGTTTCGCGGTGTTCGGACTCTTGTGATCGCTCTCGACCTTCACTCTCACCTCGCCCGACAATTTTTTCGTCACGCTCGGTGATGTCACTTCGCTCCCATCCTGCGACCTCGAATCGTCGTCCACTATCATCTTCTCAAACGAGCTGGACACGCTGTTGGTGCTGCCGACGCTACTGGCGCCATTGCTATTCGTGTTGAAACCGGTATTACTGTTATTGTTGTTGTTGTTATTTGTCGCGCCAAGGGTGTTGTTGTTGTTGCTGCTCCTCCGGCCAGAAGAACCTAGGTCGGTGACGTCGCCGGTGAGAGTGCTGCCGACATCGCCCACGCCCGAAATATCACAGTTATGACAGCTCTTCTTCTCGTCGTTGTCCGGGGATAACATTTTGTCGCCTTTAGGCTTCTCCATGCCGTCCGACGTGGAACCGTCTTTCTCGTCGCCATCTTCTTTGCTCAGCGTTTGCCGCTTGTGTTTCATTCGCCGATTTTGAAACCAAACCTTCACCTGTGACAATTATATAATGATATATTTATTTAATTAATTACTTTTTATATATAAAAATAGATAAAAATGTAATAAATTTATATCAAATTGTGGTTGACCATTGAAACAATAAATAAAATTTACAATCTTTTAAATAGGTAGTTATATATAAAATATAAAAAGGATGTGAAATATAATATAATATGTTAGAAATATATAAATAAGATATGAGAGATGTAATGGATAATTAATATTTTTATAGCATTGCGCCTGTTTCTATCTGTTACCTGTCTCTCTGTAAGATCTAGTGATGCTGCGATCTCTATCCTTCGCGGTCGACATAGATATTTGTTGAAATGAAACTCTTTTTCCAGCTCGAGAAGTTGGGTATTCGTGTAGGCCGTTCGCAATCTTCTTGGTAGGCCATTCTCTGCAAAATAAAAAAGATCCACTCTCCCTCAATTCGACTTTTAATTATATTAAATTTAATACAATACAAAAAACCCCACATTTTCTTAAATACAGAATTAATTCAGCAACTAATTTATTCTCGTATTTCAGATATTACGTGTTTAAATATTTTATGTTTACGAAGAAGCACATTGTATAAACAATTTATTTTAATTTATATTTTATCTTTTGCTCAAGCATCTTTGATATTCGCGTTTACCGCAACGATGCCCACTTTTTGTCTCTTACAGGAAGTAAATGGTATTCTAATTAATGATCATTTAAGCAACCTAAGCGCGCTATGGGGAGAGAAAGAGAGAGAGAGGGATAGGTAGAGAAGGTGGTTGCGACATGACATCCTTAACAATGCATAAGCGAAGATTCCCGCGTGGCGAAAAGGCCTATTCTTGTTCCGGCGAGTTCCTGGGCTCCTTAGAAACTTTTGGGCAAGTTTCCCACCGGCGCTATTCCGTGTCGATACGAAACACCTCCTAATTGTTATCAGACAAGAAACTTGTTCCGCGATAACAAGAGGAATGCCACGCGGGATCGGGAAGAGCGCGAAAGCGCAAACGGTAGAGAGAGAAAGAGAGACATAGACAGAGAGAGAGAGAGAGAGACGATGATGTAAGGAAGGAACCGCGGCTTATATATATTCGGGCTAGATCTGATCTAGAAAGTAGCGACCAAGTATCTCACGGTATTTTGTCGAGGCATGTGACGTAAGAGTAATTTCTGCCCAACTGCTGTAAACAATTATTAATAGCCGCCTATCGTAATTACGAGAATTCGCCGCACGCCCCGAGGAGTAATATTTCAATCAAACTTGATGGCTCTCCGCTGGCTTGCGCGTTGTTTACAAGACGTGTCTTGACAAATTCTCTAGGAACAATGTATACTTTATCATGGATCTTTGGAAAAACCTCCGCGTATACTCATCGTCTATCTGTGTGTGAACATAAGTTTGAACCGTTCAAAATACTATCAGCTAAGAATGTATAAGAGGAAGAACCTTGAACGGAGAAGAATTCAAAGAGAAAACTATTTCACGTCAATATTTTTTATTCCATCGGTCATCTGGCCACCTGGATTTTTTTTTCTTTTTTTTTATCAGGGATCATAAGGGTGTTACACTTTTTTACGCGTCGCCGTATCGCGAGAGAAGAAAAAAAAACCGATACGGCGTGACGCAGTTTGGACGAGGGGAGACAGCGAACGGAGGGGGTGGTTCGTTTCGTAGGGCCGAGATGCTAAACTACCCCATAGCGTGCGAGCGGATGTGGGGTGCCTGAGGGATGGTTCGACAGTAGGATGAGTCGTCAGGGGTTAAAGGAGAAAGAGAAAGAGAATGATCGAACAAAACAGAGGAAAAGAGATGCGAAGAAGAGGAAAGCTAAAAAGAGGAGGATGTAGTGACTGAAAAAAGTTGGAGCGAATACGTGATAAAGATGATTAGAATGAGAAGGAAGAATGAGAGAGAAAGAGAGATAGAGAGACAGAGAGCGAGAAAGAGAGGATACGCACAGGGATGAGGGAGAAGGGTGTAGACTGAAGATGTAGTAAGCTTTGAACCTAGCAAATCCTGCACGTGGAGTTTCCATAGGGCGAGGGCGACGGTGGCGAGATGAAAGTATCGCATGATTGACGTGGGCCTCATCAGCATTTCGGTCTTGCGATTGGTTGGACGAAACTGTCGATCAAACTCCACTCCACGCCCTGTATCTGTTCAATCGTTCCAGGAGTTTAATTCAATCCGACGATGAATACGGAGCAATATTGGGATGGCAAATAACTACCCGATATATATATATATTTAAAGTATTTTTAAAGAGAGGCATATTTTATAGATTGCAGGAAGTAATCAAATATCGCTTGCTCGCGTTCGTGAATAAAATAACGTTACAATATCACTCAGCCTTGTTAATCTAAATTAGTGACAGACATTTCTGCTTTGTAACGGAAACTTTTTCCGAGACCGGACGCGAAAATGTGTTGGCGTTGCTGGCGAGCTTCTCGTTCTTGCGAGACGATGTAGCAGATGACGAACTGTCAAGGCGTAGTCAAAATGAAGAGCGCGATCTGACAGGATCGTGTGCGAGGTGAGAACGATACAGCACGAAAATAGAGTTCGTATTTTCGTATATCACGCTGTGTTAGCCTCGTCTACTCGGTTCATCCGGTCGAAACTATTACTACAAAAGTATTTTGTATAAAAAGAATTATTAACATTTTTTATATATGAACTTTATTCTAAAAAATATAGATAAATGTAGCAATTAGAAAAAGCGTTTATATCAATATTGTTAAATGTAGAATTTTTCTGTAATATGTATTGACATACTTGAAAATTAATATCTTGAAATCTATCTAAAAGTTAATTCTATACTTGAGATAATATGTGTGTAAAATTAATTAATCTATATATTACAAAGTAGAAAATCGCGCAGAATGATAATATTTAATAATAATCCAAACATTTTATTTCATTTCTTATATGTAGTCGGATTTTTATTTCATTATTTTTATAATAAGCAATTTTCTTTTATTGAAGTAAAAGGTAAATTTGCCAATTTTAATGAGAAAGTAACAAAATATTAAAAAAGTAATAATATGCAATATTAGAATAACGGGTTTGTTATAACATCAATAGTTTCTCTATTGTCAATGGTGCAAATGCTGAGTCCCTGACAAACCTGACAGCCGTCGCTTCGCGGGTTCTCGTGGGTATATAAGATGCGAGTTTTGAGATGAAACACACTACTTTACGAGTGAGCTTTCAATTATGTGATGTTTTTTCGTTACTTGTTTAAAAACACGTGTTAATCTCAATGTAAACTTTTCATCAAACGAAATTTAAATCAAAATATACAGTGCTTTATTATCAATGGGACAGTCGTTATAAGAGATAGGTATGTAAAAGCTGGATATAATTGAAAGCAATAATTTTTATTAAAGTATGCATTTTTATAAAAATGTTTTTTTATTATTTTTTAAATTTGTTATTTTACATTTTATTTGTATTCGTATGTGATAAGCGCGTGGTAATGTATTTCTACATATTTTTATTTTATTCTAACAATTAGATATAGATATTATTCATTATTATTGATATATAATGAATAATAAATTGCATTTTCGCGAAACATTATATAAGTTTCAATGTAATACTTTTGATTCAAATTAATTTATTACAATCCTTTTGACGTAATATTTTTGACTTAATGATCTTTCTTTGGGATTTATTTGAAGATATCAACGCACAGCGATGAAGCTAATGATGTTGTTTGTCACGAAAAAATTATATACACGCAATATAAAATTCCGTCTCGTATTTACAATGCATACTCTGACTTCCGTAGACCTATTGCGTAGAAACTTTTGATCATACAAAACAGTAATTAAAGAAAATAGAAGCAGAAGCGATCCGCACGCGAGCCATTGTTCAGTTCCCGATCCTTCCCATTCTTTCGCTCTTCGCTATGCTAGAATGTTTACGAACACCTGGTGAAACTCTCATGCTCTCCGCTTTCTTAATTTTTATATTATTCCGTCGCACACTTATACATACATAGGATTAATCCGCAGATATTATCGAGCAAACGAGCAATAAGAATAGAGTGTCCTAGAAGAACATGGTCGGTTGAAGACGCGCGGAAAAAGCGGATCTTCAAAGTCGAAGTAGCCAGAAGTAGTTTACACGCGACACCGAGTCGTCCGGATCATGGATTTCCGTCCCGCTCTCGTTTTCTCTAGACTGGACCAGGTCGTTTATAGACAGGTGGGAAGGGTCACATGACGGGCGTCTCTGTAATTTGTCTTTTGTTTCCCTCCTCGCGCCGGGAGGAAGAAAACTTGCGAGAGGAAGAACAAAGGGCGGAAAGAACCAGCACTTCGAACGTTGCGAAGAGAAGAGAACGATTACCTCTCTTCGTTCCTCGACTTCTCTTCATCTCGCCCCATCCTTTTCTCTCTCACACTCGCTTTCCGTCTCTCTTTCTCTTCGTTCTTTTAGTATCGAGAGAAACCTGCGGCGGCGGCGGCGTCGGTGTAAACGTATGAAAAATGAGTGACGAGAATTTGAAACAAACGAGAAGACAGCCGGTTCTATGTCCGCGCTTTGACGTGTCCGAAACAGGTAGACGGCGGGTCAGTGAGAAAGGTTACCGTGATCGATAACTTTTTGATCGTTTCGGACTCCTTCGGGCGTTTTCACCCCGCGCCGAACGTTACAAATCCGGGGAGGTTCTGGGAAACAATCTACTTTAAAATATAGTAATCTTAATATCTTATTAAAAATGATATCAAGCTTCACTTTTGCGAACCGCCTCGTAATTTTTTCCAGTTGCAGAATATAATTCATTCTCAAATGTATCAAACACTCCCTTTAATACATAATATAAAATTTCTATATAATTATAAAAATTCTTTTATTAATAATATTTGTATAAAACAAATTAAACTTTACATATGTTTAAAAAATTCGAATAAATTGAAGAAGATAAAAAAAATTCCGTTTTGTGAATTTAGATCAAATCGATATTGAAAGCGGTGGTAATAAAAATTTACGTCATAACGTTCTACGCTTGTTTGAAGCGACGGAAGAATTATTCATCGCGTCGTAAGAATAAAGTGGGTATTTAATGCACCACCGGGTAATTTGTGGCGGAAGAAGCAAAGGGGTTGGAGAAGACACGAACGTGGAATCGGCATAAACTGTGGCTCATTATAGATTTAGAGCAAGACGTAATAGTAGTAAGAGGAGCTAGACGCAACGAAGTGAAGGAAGGGGGCAACGAACAAAACTAAACGCACTGGGAACCAGAATGAAGGGAGTCGAAGTGGAATGGCTGGCAGGAAGGGCTCTCTCGGCAGCTTTGGTTTTGGTGGGCTGTCGGGGGTTGCGGCCTCTGGATACGAGCTATAATCAATTAACAGTGAGCAAAACAAGAACCGCGGCCGACCACACGGCCGCAAAATATTTCGTACCTTCCTTGTTCGACTGGAACCCCCATCGCTTCGTTCACAAGTGGTTATCTCGCTTGCTGCGATAGGGCTATTGTC